GGACCTATGAAAGATATCCTGATAAACAGAAAATATTGTCCTTGTCAGGTATTTAATTTTAAGTGGATACATGATCATCACCCATAAGACAGTCAAGGGTATATTATTGCACTGGACAAACAGGTAAAAGCAAAGATGTGATGTCACTTTGAAGACGAAAAAGGGCCTTGTGTCTTAGGCTGAGTTCTCTTGAGACGCAAAAGCTGTCAAGTTTAGAAGAGGAAATTGAAGAGTAGATTTATCTCAAGGAAATGACTCATAAGCTTATTAAATCTGTCAAGTCCAAAATTCATGGGTTATACCTCAGGGTGGAGTTTTCTCCTGACTTCTGTAGTTGTAGAGACTGATGAAACAAATATCAGCTATATATATTTTTATATATTATCCATTTTATACATATATTAAATACAGACCATACCTCTGAGGAAACACTCCCTTTATCAGATCAGAGCTGTGACCAGATGAAGGGTGTTGCATCTCATGCTAATCCTTTTATACCAAATCAGGATTGGTCATGATGTGATCAGACCCACATGATGAGGGGATAACTGAGTAAATTTCAAATCAGAGAATCATGACCAAGTTAACACAGCATCTTAACCATCACACCATGGTATATTCAGTTGCCTCATAAGTATACAGAATCTGAACAATGAGTAAGAGAATAGTAAAGAAGACTGAAGAAGAATTTATGTCTTTGAATTAAGGAATTGGTGAACAACATAAAAAAAATCATAGACTGCCAAAAGAATGGGCAAATCTGTCTTGGACTGAGTACAGCCCCAGAATGCTCTTTAGATGAGGCATGGAAGCCTTCATCTCATTCTTTGGGAATGAGATGTCCAAAGGGCCAAGTCCCTAGAAAAGAGCATCATTTGTGGTAAAGGATTAACAACACGAGGAAGACCCTCAGCAAAATGGATTGCCACAGCACCTGCAGTAGTGGATTTGAGCATGGCAGACACAGTGGGCTGGCTGCAGTAGGCAGGGTTTGGTTTTGTGTTGTGGGTATAGTTGCTATAAATCAGATCTCAGTGATACCTCCACTCAACATTTCTTCATCCTGTGACAAACATCCCATTCAATAAGGTTGCCCTTGTTACCATCATGAAAATCATTTGCTCTTTATTTTTAGAGATCACAAATTGGTGGTATTAAAAGGTCTATTTGGTCTGCAGGGTTTATTTATTCAGTTCAGTACCAAAAACTTAAAAACTGACATATTCTTTGAGAAAAGTCAGAATTTCAACTTTTCTTATAAAATCTAAAAAATAATCTGACAGTTTATTTCCAAAGGCTTCATTAGGCTCCCAGTTCTCCTTGATATCCCCATCTCTGATTGATTTATTTGTATATAAATGAACGGCCTTTGGGTATGGTAGTCTCTGAGACTTTAGTTTTCTTAATATGTTGAAAATCCTAACATTTGTCTCTTACAGAGTTAGAAACCTAAAAATAGTTACTCTGACATCTGGAAATACCAAGAGACTGTTCTTAGATTCCAGGCATGTCCAGAATATATGGAGAAGCTCCTTTAGGACCAAATATATGTCACCTTTCACCTTGCTCAGAGAAATAAAATACTGAGCATTTGACAGGTAGGAAGAATATGGCCAAATATTTAGGACTGAAGAGAAGTTGCTTTCCTTTAGTCGACCAAAGCTGTTTTGCCTCTTCCCACAAGTCAACACATGATTCTTTCTTCATGTAACACTTTTATTGCTGTTATATTGGGTGTCGTCATGTCAACTGTGGTGACTCACAGTGACCCTGTGAACAACAGCTCAATACCTTGCCCTTTTGTTGTTGTAATGTGCTTTCGACTTGCCTGTGACTTATAGCGACCCTTTGAAGCATGCCCTGTCCAGAGCCAGCCAGTCTCACTGATTCCAACGTACCCATCCCCATTGCCCTAGTTTCTATATCAATCCATCTCATTCAAGGTCTTCCTCTCCTGCACTTCCCTTCACCCTTCCGAGCCTAATGTCCTTCTCCAAGGATCCTTGCCTTACCCTGCACTATTCTCACAATCTCTGCTATGCTTACATAGTTACTGTATTAATTTGTTTAGTTGAAGGTCATCTCTTACACTGACCCTCTGCCTTTTCCAGCATGATGCCCTTTTCCGAGGAGTGGCCCCTCCTGGCCACATGCCCAAAGCATTCTTGCCTCTAAGGAACACCATGGTTACACTTCCTCCAGGACAGGTTTATTTGAGAATCTTTTTGAGAGTCTATTGTTCAGTACTCTTTGACAGCACCATGATTCAAGAGGCATCTTCTTTGCTCTTTATTATTTAATGTGCAACTTTCAAGTGCATATGAAGAAATTGAAAATACTCTGGCTAAAGTGCAACAATGAATGACTGGAAACCCTAAGTCTCGTAAACTTTCATTGGAATTAATTTTTTAAAAAAGAAAGAAAATACCCTGGCTGGCACACCTAAGTGATGGCTTATATAAATGTTATTGTTACGTACCCTAGAGTCGGAACCTACCCATAACAATTAATTGCACAGGAGGAGGTCGCCCATCCTTTTCTCACTATGTTAAATACTCAGATTTTTTAAAAAACTTACTCTGTACAGGTTCTTGAGATGATGAAAATATTCTGGAACTAGATGCAGCTAAGTGTTTCATCAATGACTAGTAAATATTGCTTAAGTGTGCACTTTAAAACCATCAGAACGGTAACATTTTTAGTGTATTCTACTACAAGGAAAAAGACTCAAATATTACCTTAGCACTGAAATGAAATTATCTTAATTCATTTTCAGACTTATTTTTGTAATGACAGCCCTTTTCTTTCACAGTATATGTAAGATCTCCATAAACTTAAGTCACTCCCTACTCTTTGTCCCTACAGTACCTTTTTCAGGACACATTTTGAAATGCAGTGTTCCAGACCAAGATGTTTTCTTCACTACTTTATTTTTAATTCTTTTTTCCCGTGGTTTAGTTTATAAAGATTTTTAAGATACTTTAGAGGAAGTTTCAACATTGCCAACAAATTAAAAATATATTCCTTCACATACCTGCAAAGCACATGCAAAAGATCCATGTCTGATAGGGACGGTTCGACACATTTCCATAACTTTTTGTGTCATTATTGTATTCACATATCTGTGTTTTGATGCATACCTTAGTAGTATGTTGTTGTTGTATACCATTAAGTCAGAACTGACCCATAGCTGTCCCTCCGGCAGATTTTCAGAGGTAATTATATGCTTGCTAATAAAAAAATAAGGGGGAAAAAGTAAAATTAAAAATTAGGACATGTAGACAAGTAAAAATGAAGACATCTTTTTTAGCTATGCAGTGCTGCTAATTTTGTTGTGTTGGTGTGGTTTTTAAAGGTAATAATGAAGTAGCCACTGACTGGGAAAAAGTATTCGGTAATAACATATCAGATAAGGGACTTATATCCAGAATTTATGAAATACTTGAGCACCACAACAAGATAAAGGTAAATAATCCAATAGAAAAATGGGCACAGGATATGAACAGGCACTTCACCGAAGATGACATTCAGATGGCTAACAAACACATGAAGAAATGCTCAAAATCCCTAGCCCTAAGAGAGATGCAAATTAAAACAACTATGAGATATCATTTCACCCCAGTCAAAATAGCAAAATTTAACAGAACAGCAAGCAACAAATGCTGGCGAGGTTGTGGAGAAACTGGAACCCTGATTCACTGTTGATGGGAGTGTAAAATGGTGCAACCCCTGTGGAAAGCAGTTTGGCGCTTTCTCAAAAAGTTGCAAATAGAGATACCATTTGACCCAGCAATTCCACTACTGGGAATATACCCTGAAGAGACCATAGCTGACATCCAAGCAGATATATGCACACCCATGTTCATTGCAGCTTTGTTCACAATAGCAAGGAGTTGGAAACAACCTAAGTGCCCATCAACAAACGAATGGCTAGAGAAGCTGTGGTATATTCGCACAATGGAATACTATGCTGCATTAAAAAACAAGGAACTCATGCAATATTATTCAAAATGGTTGACTCTGGAGAACATTATGCTGAGTGAAATATCCCAGTCACAAAAGGACAAATATTACATGATGCCACTGTTGTAGAATGGGACTGTCCTTGGGGTTAGGGAGACACTGAGTAAGATGGGTTCAATAATGTATACTGCACTGAAGCAGAGGAGAGAGAGAACCGTCTAAAAGAGAGATGTAACTGGGTATTTCTGTCATCACAGGACACTAGAGCGAGGGCTGCATGGTGGAGGGGACCTGCGGGAGGGTTTGTAAAACAATGAAAGAATCTTTTCTTTTACTTTTCCATAATTTTTGGACTCATGTACTTATAACTTGTTAGTCAAATTTGTGTCTTCTAGGTTGCAACACCCCCATGATACATCTTGAAGGATATGTACATGTACAGCCAAGCACAATCAATAAGAGTGCATCTGAATTCCAAAATCAATCTCCATAATAGTCTATGTGTTTCCTACTGCCAAAGGGGCCCTTTAGAGTAGTGAGAGAAGATCTTCACCCTGAAACCCACAGCGTCCCTTTTCAGCAGGAAGTAGCTAAGAGAATACGCCGTCCCCTTTTCCTTATGACTCAGGGTGAAGTCTTTCTCAGGGAGGAGTGATAGGGAATGGCAAAGGATACACTGACAAAGAAGATTAATCAGAACTGGCTTTGACAAGCACTGTGGCATTTGGACAAGAACAAACTGGGAGGAGGGTAGAGAGAATAGTGCAACAATGAATGAGTGGAAGCCCAAAATCTCTGTAAATGTTTATGAAAATTAATAAAATATAATTATAGAAAAAAAAAATTAAAAAAAAAATGAAGTGTACTATTATATAAATTGACAGTACATTGCCATAGTATTTTTGACACTAATTGTACATAAATATTTGCTTCCTTTTAGATGGTAAATGATAAGTCTGATGAAAATTGTTTTGTAAAAATCATACATAAAGATTATGAACAGGGTTCTGACTTTTCTGTTTCTTTCTCTGTTGTAGATTCACAGCGGGAATTTAATAGTAGGCCGGGAACAGGATATGTACCTGTGGAGTTTTGGAAAAAAACTGGTATGTAGGTCTATCTGCTGATTAGTTGTATGTACACTCTTAATTTGTGTGAGTGTGGGGCTTATATTTGGAGGGAAAGTTGGTAACTGAGTCATTTAGTTTTCTAGTATCTGCCTCCACAAAGAGCTCCAAGTCTGTTCTGGATGACAAAAAAAGATTAAGAAATGAACGTGTGTGTGTGTGTGTGTGTGTGTGTGTGTGTGTGTCTCCTGACTTACAGAATGTGTGTGTATAAACTGAATGTATATGCGAGATATATATGTTGTTGTTGTTATTGCCGTCGAGTCGCTTGCGACTCATAGCGCCCCTATGTACAGCAGCCCTAAACTCTGCTCTGTCCTGTGCCAGTCGCACTGTCTCTGACACTCCCATCCCAATTATCCCAGTCACTGAATCAATC